CAGTCATTGGATGGCATAACTGTGTCTCAAAGTACTTATGCTAAAAACTTGATCAAAAAGTTTGAGATGTAGACAAGTAAAACGGCCAGAACACCCATGAGTACAACTATTAAACTCGGAAAAGATGAAGATGGCATTAAAGTCAGTGAACAACTCTACAGAGCTATGATTGGGAGTCTACTCTATCTCACTGCAAGCAGGCCAGACATATCATTGAGTGTAGGGCTGTGTGCCCGATATCAGGCTAATCCAAAGCAATCACATCTAAATGCAGTCAAAAGAATCATTAAATATGTAAAAGGAACATTAGATTATGGCTTGTGCTATACCAAAGATACTAATGCAAATTTGGCTGGTTTTTGTGATGCAGATTGGGCAGGATCGGTTGATGATCGAAAAAGTACATCTGGTGGATGTTTCTATCTCGGTAACAACATGACAGCCTGGCATAGCAAAAAGCAAAATTGTGTAACACTGTCAACAGCTGAAGCTGAATATATTGCATTGGGAAGTTGCTGCACTCAACTCCTTTGGATGAAACAGATCCTGAGTGATTATGATATGTCCTCTGGTCCATTATTAGTCCAATGCGATAACATGAGTGCTATTAATATATCTAAAAATCCAGTTCAACACTCTCAAACCAAACACATTGACATTAGACATCATTTTGTTCGAGAGCTTGTAGAAGAGAAAACTGTTGAGATTAGACATGTGTCCTCTGAAAATCAACTAGCAGATATTTTTACTAAGCCATTAGATTTAAATACCTTTCTTCGTTTAAGAAAGTCACTTGGTATATGTGAATGCTAATCGCTTGTGCTCTTGAGATAGTGGTTCAACGGAGACAGAAACTTGAATTACACTGCTATTTTCTATATATATGTATAAGTATACATCATCCTTAAAACCTCATGTCAGATGTACACAGCAAGGTTTGTAAGCCCTTTCTAGCCGTATATTCTCTGACATAGTTAGTCCGAAGAGATAGACACTCAGTTTGGATTTGGCGTAAACCCGTCAACTCTGAACTTGATCACTGTCTGGATTGGATACACAGATATCTGAGTGCGTGACCGAGAGAACATTCACGGGCTGACACTCGTTTCGGACTTGGCGTAGACCCGTCACTTTTGAATTTGATCACTATCATGCTTTCAAGTCATTTCTATCCTATAGTTTAGTTTAATATATATATAAAAAAATGGGAATACTCTTTGTACAACTTTCTGTTATCAGACTAGACATCCGTTTCGGACTTGGCGTAGACCCGTCACCTCTGATTTCGTTCTTTGTCTAAGTGGTACTAGTTGCGAATCCAGTCTCAGAAAGAATGATAATGTGGAATAAATGACTTGAACTTTCTATCGGTTTGCCTCATTCATCTTGAAATATACTGTAACTTAAGGATGTGCAGGGGATGAAGTGTCTTGTTACCCGGCTGTGATCATTTGATGTGTTGATTATTTTTTGTCAACTATTGCAGTGTAGATTGAGGGGTCAACGTTGTTGCATTGTCTTGAGAGTACACACAACCATGTTCGACATAATATTTAGCTTATTTCCTTTGTCCATCATTCATTTTAGTAGTTCATTGTTTATTTTATTAGTTCTTTTCGGTTGTGCTATTGTCTCTTCTCCAGGCAGAGGTTTCTCACAGCTCTCGAACACGCCAGAATGATCGCTCTAGTTCAATTGGTTTAGATGGTTCTTAGGTGTTGAACCATTTCTGTTTTTTTTACATAATCGTGTGTCTACTTATATTAATTTCTTCCTTATTAACTATTTCCTTATTTTTGTGAGGCGGTTTCGTGAGCAGAATCTGGGTAAGGGCTTCCAACATCGACTTGGCCCATTAAGATTTCTGTATAAGAGGATCGACTGGTAAAGTCTTCAGTTGACCTAACCCTACAAGTCTTTCTTAACAACCCTTTTGTGCAGCCATTAGTTATGTCCTCGCATCAGACTCCCGCCGCAAAGATGTTTGCTGAGTTGGCTCAGATACGTGCCATGACCTCCAGTGCACGTTCTCTTGATGACAGAGCCAGCATGTGGCATCTCGATTACGGGCATGTGCCTTCCGAGGAATCTCTGTTGACTCGAGTGATGAATCGGCTGACTCTACTGTTGCTCCTCGTGACGTGACTGACACGCAACGTGGAAACCGACGGATGGAAACCGGGAATGTTAGCTCTCGCTATGAAACTCATCGTCGCATTCAACTGCACAAAGACAGCACCAATCCTGAACTGATGATGTCACTGATGCGTCCACACTGTGACAGATGTTCAGCCCTATGTTTCGTGAACTCGAGGCTGTCATCATGGGAGCTGGTCTACTTAATACTGTGACAGATGTTCAGCCCTATGTTCTTCAAGTGGTTCGTGAGTTCTATGCTAATCTCGATGACATGATTCGTCGAGATGGGATCACCTATGTGTATGTTCGACGCCAGATGTTTGAGTTCTCTCCCAACATGATAAACAGTATGTTGGGAATTGTCTCTTTGGATCCGTTGCTTCGCTTTCCTGAAGTTCTTGATGATGCTACACTTGATTCTGCCTCGGAGATTCTATCTGGTGGTCGGATCACCTCGTGGGGTGACTTGGAGATTCCTGCTTTCACCCCTCCAATGAAGCAATTGTACAAGGTGTGCCTTGCCAACTGGATGCCCACATCCGATGCTGTAAATCTTGCCCCTCATCGGGTAAAATTTCTCGCTGGAGTGGCTCAAGGACTAAAATTTCACTTTGGCCACATGGTATTTCACCAAATCCTCAGTGTTGCACGTTCTCCGGGTTCGTTGAGTCGTCCGTTACCATTTCCAAACTTCATCTATCAAGTCCTCAGCTTTCAGCGTCCTGTGTTTCGGTTTCCTGATGATGAAGAGTCTGCCTACCCTGTGGTACTTGCTCCACCAATTCGGCCTCATGCTGTTCAGTCTCACAACCTGGTGGATGACCTTCAGCAATTGAGTGCCTGGGTCACTGCAATACAACTTCGTCTTCAAGGTAAGTTATATCTCCTCTCACCTCCTTGTATTTGCTTGTGAACTGTTTTTTATTTGAATGTGCTCTCAAGCAGGGGGATAGTATGACAAGGCGGTTGCGTTTGAAGATCAGATTAATCAACGGCATGAGTAGTTGGCTACATCTGAGGGGGAGCTATTTACAATTCCAAGGCGTTTTTGTTTTTTTTAGACTTTGTTTGAAGCCCATCTCTTGGCTTATTTGTTTTATGTTAGAGTATACTGATTAATTCTGGTTGTTACTCTATGTCGAACCGTGTCTCCCCATAAGTTTGCCTTAATGGAATTGAATAATTTTTATGAGAGCTTACTCGTTGTATTCTGGTAGCTTGGTTGTGTTGTGTTTGTCTGTCAGGTTTGTGGAGAAGCTTGAGAGAACACATTCAGATAAAAAGGGGGAGATTGAAAGCACAAGCTTTGCGGTGATTAACAAGTGAGAGCACGAGCAAATACGATTAAGGAAAGAAGTGAAATTGAGCTAATGACGTGGCATGATCAAGAAGCGTATATCGTGCAGAGGAAGACAATATCTGTTGAAGGCAAGAAAATATCTGATAATGGAAGGAAGAGATTCGGAGTACACAGTATAAAAAGGGGATGATGGGAAGAGGTCTAAGCACACGAAACAGAGAGAAAAGGAGAGAGTCCAAAGGGTTTCTGTGTGAGCAATTTGTATCACTGAAACTTGAGAGATAGTGAGTTTTTGAGTTGTATAAGAATCGATCAGTGTCGGGTCAAGAGTTTGACTGTGAGTTAATCTGATCAAACAAGTTTGTAGAAGATTGTTTGAGAGATTCTTAATAAAGTTCAAAGCATTTTGATTTGCATTCTTAAAGCTTTGCCAAAGTCTATATTCCTTGTTTTTTCAGGAGTGGTATTGAAGACTTGTTCGCAAAATTAGCATGCCCTTGCGGTGAAGCGCGACGGCGATGATGTGTGACGGCGATGATGTCAGCAACCACTTATCTCGTTTTCAACCTAAAGCTTACACGTGTTTAACACGTGTTATATTGTGGCTTATCATTATCTTTTAGTTCTTTGGAAGTAATGGTGGGTTTGTACTGGATTTCAATGGGCGTCCGCTTTCCATTTGTTGTAATTGCTCAAGCGGACTTTATTAATACTAGATGAATATCTGCACGTTACGTGCAGTTTTTTTTTAACTATTACTAATCTTATATAAAAATAAATATAATCATCATTTGTTATGTGTGTTATTATATTATTATAAATAATTTTAAAAATGTTTAAAAACAATGATTTTAGAAATTTTATATATTAAAAAACAATCTTAAAAATTAATTTAAAATACAACATCATCAATATAAAAACAGTTATATGTGTTATTTGTCATGTGTAGTGTTATAAACATTTTTAAAAACTTTTTCGAAAAGCAAAAAAATTTTAGAAATCAATTTAAAATGCAATATCATAAAAAAAATTGAGAATTATATAAAAAGATAATAAATATCAATAATTAGTGTCTGTTTGTTTTTTTGAGTGATTTAAAACTTGATATTAAAATTCATTAATTTATTATTATTTTAAAAATATTATAGTTTTAAATTATAAAAGTGATATATGTCATCTCCATATCAATTCAAAATGATGATGTGTTATTCATACGGAGAAAATTGAATATATAAAAATGATGGGTTTGTTGACGTCAAAAAAAGTCTATATATATATTCCTATTAAAAACTAGAATATAAAACAGAGTACAACAAGTTGAAGATCCAGCCGTGATTGGTGTTAAATGCATATAGTGTCTACGTATATGAGTTGAATTTTTGGTTTCCTATAATCCGAGATTTGGGGGCTAAACCAGGTCGACCACGTGGGAATGAAAACGACAGCGTTTTTTCTCGTTTCCGCCGAATAAAAAAAACATAACGGTGCTTATGGCTTAGAGAACGGCGGAGAGGTTTTTAATTATTAAAAAAAAAACAAAAACAAATTAAAAAGACGAAACGAGACAGAGAAGAAAGAGACACCTTCGTTTGCGCGTTTTCTCTGTAATCTCTCTCTCTCTTCTCTCTCTCCTCTCTCTCTTACGGCTGTGACGACGATGGAATTTCTGCAGAGCGACGGGATCCGTGATTCTCGATCGGAGGAAGCTTCTACTCCTTCTCTCTCCGCCTAAATCTCCAATTCGCCGCCGTTTACCGTCATCTCCGTTTCCAAACCAAAATCGTAAACGCTTCTTCTTAATCTCTCCACCAATGTAATCGTTTGTTCGCGCGATGTGATCGTTAAGTTCTTCGTCTATTGGAATTTTTTTTCTTTTAAGATGATTTTGGATTTTGATGAAACAATCCGCCTCCCATTTATTCTCAGATCATTCGTTTGCTTGCGCTTGATTTTTCTTCACATTCTCTTTTTTTTTTGGGTTTTAACACGATTCATAAAATTTTGATTCGTTTCGAAGACGCATTTTGATTCCGTATCTCAAAAATTTGATTTTCTGGGTTTTTTTTTGGTTTATTTTGAAGATCTAATTGATGTTTTTCCTCGGGTTAGATCGTTTTCAGCGTTTTTGAGTTTGATCCTGCAATGTGGATCGGAATGGTTTGGGAGCTTATGCATTGAATTTGATTAACTTGGAAACCAAGTATTAAATCGTTCAGAAATCTATGAACTAAGAGGTTTTTGATTCTTGAATCAGGTTTTTTTTTCTCGTATGATGGGAGATCTGGTGGAGAACTAGACGCAGCAGCTAGCGGAAGTTTTTAGTCTCAGCTTCTTCATTTTTTTTCTTTCAAGGCTCAGGGAAATAAAAATGTCAACTAAGGGAGAACATCATACAGTTCCACTATCTGTTTTGCTCAAGCGTGAATCAGCGAATGAGAAGATAGACAATCCTGAGCTCGTACACGGGCAGGCTAACCAGAGCAAGAAAGGCGAGGACTTTACGCTTGTTAAAACAGAGTGCCAAAGGGTCATGGGAGATGGAGTCACTACCTTCTCAGTTTTTGGGGTATTATATTGATTCTTGTTGCTCTTTGTGTCATTCAAGCTTCTCTTTTTGGATCTAAATCTTTTCTGATGCGTGTATTGATTGGGTTGACATGCCAATATACCATCTCAATCTGTTTACTTAAATGGTGTTGATGTTTCTAAGTTAAACATTGAATCTTATTATTGCAGCTTTTTGATGGACACAATGGTTCTGCAGCAGCTATCTACACAAAGGAGAACCTTTTGAACAATGTATTAGCTGCAATACCCTCTGATCTCAACAGAGACGAGTGGGTTGCGGCGCTTCCGAGGGCTTTGGTTGCAGGGTTTGTGAAAACTGATAAAGATTTCCAGGAAAGAGGTATTAAATTTCGTTGTATTTTCATTCTTATGTGATTTTTTTGGTGAAGGCTATGTTTGAGGTTCTAATTGTTTCTTGGCATGTCAGCAAGGACGTCTGGAACGACTGTAACTTTTGTAATAGTAGAAGGATGGGTGGTGAGTGTTGCATCTGTAGGTGACTCTCGTTGCATACTTGAGCCTGCTGAAGGTGGTGTCTATTATTTATCTGCTGATCATCGGCTTGAAATAAACGAAGAAGAGTAAGTCAGATTTCTTCCTTATATTAACACAGATGATGATAATTTTATTGTTATAAATTGGCATCACAATGTTTTTCGGCTTTTTTTTCACAGGCGAGATCGCGTCACTGCAAGTGGTGGTGAAGTTGGTCGGTTAAATACTGGTGGTGGTACTGAGGTACTTTCTTTAGATAATACTGGAGACTTTTCTTCTGTGTGATAAGTTCAAGTCACTTGTTATCATATCTTATTTCTGGCTATTTAGAACTAAAAGGTAACTGAGTGCAAGCCTTTTCGACAAGGATGAGCTTGCAGAATTGGATTCCCTTCCAGAATGGAGCATGAAAACTCCAGTACACTTAGCTAATGAACCATGAGCCTTCCTCAATTGTTTATGCATTAATGAGTTGTAGGTCATCAAGTCGAAAACCAAGCTTTACTGATCATTGAAAAGAGTTGAAACATTTAGGCTGTCAAATTATGCTAGCATTGTAGAATGTAACACAAACTAAACTTCGTTTTGCCGTCAAATTCAAGGATTCTGATAACTAAAACTAAATTGTTTTAGATTGGTCCTCTGAGATGTTGGCCTGGTGGACTTTGTCTCTCAAGATCCATTGGAGATCTGGATGTTGGCGAATACATTGTTCCAGTTCCTTATGTGAAGCAAGTCAAGGTTTAAAAAACTCATGATTTTCATCTGTTGTGGTTATGGCGTTAGCTGACATTCTAAGGATCAAGTTTATCCTAAAAAGATGTATCTATTATTATTTTTTGGTTATATAGTTGTCTTCAGCTGGTGGTCGACTTATCATCTCAAGTGATGGTGTGTGGGATGCAATGAGTGCAGAGGAGGCTCTTGATTGTTGCCGGGGCTTGCCACCTGAAACTTCTGCGGAGCACATTGTCAAAGTATAGTATCCGAATTGCTATGTTTCCAATATATTATTTTCTTTACAAGTAAGTACCTTAATGGTTTATTACTTCTCACAGGAAGCTGTGGGGAAAAAGGGTCTACGCGATGACACAACCTGTATTGTTGTTGACATATTACCGTTGGAAAAACCGGCCGCTTCCTTGCCGCCTCCGAAAAAGCAAGGAAAAGGAATGCTAAAGTCCATGTTCAAAAGAAAAAGTTCAGACTCCTCTTCTAATATTGAGAAAGAGTATGCAGAACCTGATGTAGTTGAAGAACTGTTTGAAGAGGGCTCTGCTATGCTTTCAGAGAGGTCTGATTCTCTGAATATAGTTGCTTACGCATATAACATGGAATAGAAAACATATTTTGATCAACTTTTATTGTGTGTGTTGCAGATTAGACACAAAGTACCCGCTTTGCAATATGTTCAAGTTGTTTATGTGTGCTGTGTGTCAAGTAGAAGTGAAACCTGGAGAAGGTGTCTCAATCCATGCTGGATCGTCTAATTGCCGTAAACTTCGTCCCTGGGATGGTCCATTCCTTTGCGCAAGTTGCCAGGACAAGAAAGACGCAATGGAAGGGAAAAGATCATCTGGAGGTACCTACCTACTTACATTTCCTTCTTCATTCTTGCCAATATTTTCGAAAGCTAATTGTAACCACTTTTTTTCTGATGTCAAATGTTATATTTCAGATAGACATAGTAGTGAGAGCGACTAGCCAGTAATTTCTGCAACTTGCAATTTTATTTTGGCAAAGCAAAACTAACAAAACAGTGTTGTGAGTAAATTGGAGCGGTTCAAGAGGATCTTACCATCCAGAGATACATGAGTTCCTTGATCAACCACTATACCATTCTTACCATTCTCCGGCAGACTCCAAAGCAGTTTGTGTTTTTTTTTCCCCTTTGATATGGTGATGGCTCCTACTTCACGGCGTCTTGGATTCTTAAATGTAAATCCGAGAAGCCCAAACATCAAACTAGTTTCAAACTAGAGGTAATTCGGAAGTTCTTTTCTTTTTCTTTTTTCTTTTGTTCGTTTTGTGATCAGACTAGTTTGTGATTTGGTGTTTACAAAATGAGTAGAACTAACTGCGAGAGACAAGTAGGGTAAAGAAGATACGCGAGTCTGTGTGCAATTATTTCATGTATAAACAATTCTGGATAGATATCATTATTTTTTCATGTAACTTTATTTATATATATCTATGTTTTCGACGCTCATACATTTCATGAATGCTGCATTTAGCTATTCTTCTCCTTTCTCCTTAGTTATGTCGTCTGAAACTTCCGAGTTATATGTATTGAAAAACAGAGGATCTTGTTGTTTTCGGAATCCATAAAGTTTACATTACAAAATCTAAAAGATCATAGCTACGTACTGTCTATTTACCAAGATTGGTAAAAAGAGTATAACTGACTTACTTATCTCAGATAAGAGATTAGAGATAGGGATAATGCTGATGACACCCAAATTCCTAAATAAGGTACGACAACGAAAGAGAGAAAATATAAAATCAAAATCAAAACAAGTTTCTTGCTCCTTGGGGCTTAAGGCTTAGTCCACCTATTTTCTTTTTATTTTCTATTTAATTTTTATTTCTTTTGTCTACTCTTTTACTTATCACGAATATACGTATAATAGTAGCTAGGTCTCTTAATATAGCTTAGTTTTCTATTGCATAACATCTCTCTCCGTCTGATCAGCAACCATGAATTCAGACTCCATCCCGTTTGATCTCATTATCGATATATTCTCGAGATTACCTACAAAGTCAATCGCTAGGTTTTGTTGCGTGTCAAATATGGGGTTCCGTGTTTCACCGTCCATATTTCACCCAATTGTTCTTGACGAAGTCCTCGGCTCGTCCTCGTCTCTTATTTGCGGTCTCACAACATGGTGAGTGGAGCTTCTTCTCGTTGCCTCAGCGTCATAATTCGTCTGTCTCTTGTAGCAGCTGCCGATTTTCATATTAAGTTGCCCCAGCGTATATGCGGATCTATGGATATGCCTCTGGTTTGATCTACTTCTACGGTACGTGGATCTCAGAGGAGGAATACCGTGAAGTGCCTATGATATGTAACCCTAACACGGGACGTTATGAGACTTTGCCTTATCTGTATAGGTACAGAAAGCTGTTTAGTTTTTTCGGGTTTGATCCGATTGACAAGCTATTCAAGGTATTGTTCATGGCTTATCAAGGTTGTTCAGATGATCATAAAATTCTAACATTAGAAACTGGAGAAATGAGATGGAGGAAGATCCAATATCCTTTAAACCATATGCCTTTTAGTAGTGAAGGGATATGCATCAATGGGGTTTTATATTATTTAGCTGTGCATGATATTTATGTCAGGTCTGATGTGGTTGATGATGAAAGGTGTGACATAACATTTGTTTTTAAGATAGTTTGCTTTGATGTTAGGTCTGAGAAATTCAAATTTCTTGACGTAGAAAGCATTTGTAAACTGATAAACTATAAAGATAAATTAGGTTGTAATTTATTGGGATGATGACGTTTACAAGATGGGTAGAGTCGACTTTGATCCCATTGAGTTGCGTGTGTGGGTCCTAGAGGATACCGAGAAACAAGATTGGTCGAAATATTCCTACACTTTGAGGGATGTTAACTTTTTGGCTCATTACGTTTCCGTCGTTGGAGTGACGGCTACGGGTGAAATTGTTTTCTCAATGTGCTATTATACATCTAATAACCGTTTTATGTTTTCTACTTCATTCCAGAAAGGAAAAAGGGTCGAAAAAACGGTGAGTGGAGCTTCTTCTCGTTGACTCAGCTTCTGTCAAAGTAATTTGCGGAAATAATTTATTCATCAGCTTAAAAGCAAATATATATACATATACATTAGTTACCCTTAAGTTAGTAACTAGCAATGTGGGACAAAACAAATAAACTAGTTAACACTGAGTTAGTAACTATACATGGTCCAATAAGCCCATTATCTCTTAATACCCCCCTCCCCCCCTCCCCCCCCCCCTCAAATTGGAGCATGGAGATCTCGAATGCCCAACTTGTACAAAATTTCTTTAAACAGACGTCCTCCAAGTGCTTTAGTGAAGATATCCGCCAACTGTTGACTAGTAGAAACATGTTGAGTCTGAACAATTACAACTTGTATATCGTCTCTAATGAAATGACAATCAAGCTCCACATGCTTCGTTCTCTCATGAAACACAGGATTAGCTGCAATATGAAACGCAGACTGGCTGTCACAATATAAATCCATTGGACCAGAATGTGCAATACCCATCGTTAACAACACACTCTTTATCCACTTCTACTCTTTCAATGCCAAAACCATAGCTCGGTACTCTGCTTCAGCTGAAGAGTATGATACAACGTCCTGCTTCTTTGAACTCCATGACACAAGAGAATTTCCCAACTGTATTAACTATCCACTCAAAGATCTCCTCGTGATTGGACATCCAGCCCAATCTGAATCACACCAAGCTGTAAGATAAAAATTACAATCAGATTTCAACAAAATTCCCATTCCCGGGCACCCTTTCAAGTAACGAACAACTCTCAATGCAGCCATCCAATGATCCTCTCTTGGCTCATTCATAAATTGAGACAAAATGTGAACTGAGTAAGCAAGATCTGGTCTAGTCGCGGCCAGGTAAATCAACTTTCCAACAAGTCTCTGATACTTCTCTGGATCAGCAAGTATTTTTGTCATCGACCTTCCCAACTGATGAACTTGCTCCATCGGAAACTCTACAGGTCTACCACCAAGCAAACCAACATCAGCAATAATATCCAGAGCGTACTTTCTCTATGATAAGTATATACCCTCTACATTTCTTGCGACTTCCAATCCAAGAAAATATTTTAATTTTCCCAAATCTTTCATATGAAAGCAATTGCTTAAATACGTTTTAAACTTTTGTATCACCTCGGGAGAGCTTCCTGCCACCACAAGATCATCCACATACACTAGAACGTGCAAGTGAACTTTATCACGAACTAATGAAAAAAGAGAGTAATCAGCCTTACTCTATGTAAAACCATACCCCAAGAGTGCCTTCAAAAGTTTCGCGGAGCCTGTTTCAAACCATACCTTGCACAAACGACATACCATACCCTTCTTAGAAGCACCAAAACCCTGAGGTATTCTCATAAACACCTCTTCATCCAAATCCCCATGAAAAAACACATTGTGCACATTCATCTGATGTAGCTCCCAATTTTTCCCAGCTGCAACTTGAAGAACCAATCGAACGGTACTCATCTTTGCTACTGGAGCAAATATATCAGAATAATCAATCCCTTTTTTTTGACGGTTGCCACATGCCACAAGTCTCGCCTTATACCTTTCAATCGAGCCATCCGCATTATACTTAATCGTGTAAACCCATTTACACGCAATAACATGCTTACCTGGTGGTAAGTGTTCAATCAACCATGTTTGATTTCGTTCTTGAGCCTCAATCTCCAGTCTCATAGCTTCTCTCCATCGCGGATCCTTCATAGCCTCAGCAAAATTTTTCAGCATAACTCCTTGAGTTATACTACACAGAAATGCTTTGTGTGACACAGAGAACCTTTCACAATTCACATAATTTTCAATACCGTAATCATTACTCAACTCCTGACTCACAGTGGATGTATTCATTGTAAATGTCGTATTGAACACATAATTAAGTAACTTGTTTCTTTCGTTCTCATTCCTCTTCCCAAAATTTCTATTGATGCAGGCTGTTGCACAGGTTCAGCCTGTGTCAACGATGCATGTTCTGTCACTAAAGCAGGTTGCACATTCTCAGACTGTGTAACCGATGGAGGTTCAGTCTGTGGCACTGTAGTTCTTAAGATATCGCATATTTCGTTTCTTATAGTCTGTCTTTGTTCTTCTGCAACCTTGTCTGACACAACCAAAGTCTGTGTCATTGTATCTCTTGTGGGAGTTTGTATAATTTTTCTTGCCAAGGCAGGTTCTATATCGTTAAATCCAATGTTGTCATCCACAAATAACCTCGTATGATCAGAATTAGAAGGCTCATCCAGCTGTGTATTTTATAGCTCCAAATATGGGAATCGTTCCTCAATAAAAGTGACATCCCGAGAACAAAGATCTCATGTGTGTCCAAGTCAAATAAGTTCCATCCCTTCTTTGCACAAGGATATCCTAAAAATATGCATTTTCTACATCTACTCGCAAATTTATCCCCATGACGTTTCTGATTGTGAGCATATGCTAAACATCCAAAAACTTGTATCTCACTATAAGCAGGAGCTTTCCCAAAGATGATTTCATAAGGACTCTTACCATTGTGTAACACAGAAGGCGTACGGTTGATTAGATACACAGCACTCAAAGCACAATAACTCTAAAGTTCTATTGGTAAATTTGCCTGAAACCTCAACGCTCGTGCGACATTCTGTATATGTTGATGTTTTCGCTCCACTCTCCCATTTTGTTGAGGAGTTCCCACACACGAAGTTTGATGAATTATCCCTAATGTACGAAAATAATCCTTCATACCTATGAGTTCACTACCATTAACACTTCGCACGATTTTCACATGTTTCTCAAACTGTCTCTGAATGAGAGCAAAGAAATATACCATTGTTTTCTAAACTTGTGTTTTATCAGCAAGAAGAAAAACCCACACAGCTCTAGAATAATCATCCACAATAGTTCAGAAATAAGAAGACCCACACACGCTCTGTGTTCAATATGGCCCCCACATATCACAATGAATCATCTCAACGCACTCTTTGCTTTTCTCTGTACTCACAGGAAATACATTTCGACACTGCTTTGCTCGGAAACAGATATCACAATCAGAAACACCTACACTCTTTTGATCCACTTCTGGCAATCTCCTAATAACCTTTTCAGAAGCATGTCCCATCCGTTTATGCCAAAGTTCTAAAGACCCCAACTTACTGACCTTCGCCACATTCACGATCTTCTGAATACCTTGAAGAAAATTCAATCAATCTTTTCTTTCACCCACTGCAATCGGAATCTGCAAAGCAGGATCCTATACCCGGCATATTTGCTTAGAAAATAACACAATGCAATTCATTGCATCAATAATCTGTGACATGGAGATGAGATTGCACTTGAGTTCCTTGACAAAAAGCACATGTGTCAAAATTAACTTCTCCGTCAATGCCACACTTCCTTCTCTATCAGCAACCACAACATTTCCATTAGGCAGGCCCACTAAATAT